GGCCCATCTGCCCACCAAGTAGACCTAAACTACAGTTGGCCCAGACTCCTAAGTTGGGGTGGGGGAGGAGGGGGGGTTGAATTGATTAAATATCAGTGCAATTGCTGACCAATGCCGCTTTGGGCAATTCTTGGTGATCATAACACTGCCATACTAATAACAGTATCTGACACAAATACCTCTCAGTAGTGAGGAACTGATCAGTTATCAGGAGCGTAACGATAAGGATGGTGGTCGACGAGCTATAGGAGTTGGTTTTCCTGAAGCAAACTAACAACTTCACATTTTTGGCCTTATTTGCCGGCGTCCTAACAATAGACAATATGGACTCCACCCCCTTTTTTAGCCTTCCATTTGCATGTAACGAGCGTAAGAAATGCGTGACATTAACACGGTGTTCAAAGTATACATTTCTTTAAAATAAATGGGAAAAGGCTAAATTTTGAGAGACAAAAAACAAATTCACAAATGTTTTTGTAAGCAAAACGATTCTGTCCATTCTTCTTAAGTTTTTATTTTCTTATTATTAAGAAATTTTCCTTCCTGTTTTCAGGCTAAATTTTCTAATATCCCCTAACACGTGATCCGTAAGTGTTTTCGGTGTATTTAAAGGAATGCAAGCGCTAAAATAACATGAACAATTAGTAATTATTCTTTAATTATATGCCATGAAAGCTTTCATATTTTAATATTGACGCCTTTAAATGGCAAACTGTTCCAATAAAACAGAAAAGGCTACCAAAATGCAGTAATTTACTAATGCATTAAAAGATAAGTTTCCGTAGAATTATAAAGACGAAATGCGGAAATTTTTAAGAAAATTTCCATAATTGCATTGAAAAGTGGATTTCAAGGACATTTAAAAGAGAGTCAAGGTGGGCAAATAAAGGAAGGGTTTGCAATCAACAGTCAAATAAAACGTGAGGCAGATTTTTAGTTTAAAGCCTTGAGTTGAATGAATAGACAGATAAAACCACCATCTTTATTTGAATACCAATTGAAATTTCGTCTTCTAATATTTAAAGTTTTACCCAGAGAGAATTTTTTCTCTATAGGTTAACAAGGAGATAATAACCCAGGCGTTCTTGACCTATTTGCCATTTGATAAGACTGATTAGACGGTCCTAGCACCTATGTTCCTCTGACCCCTCTTTAAAGAGAAATTCAATGAAACCGGCGATTCTGCTGCACATAACAGCATTCACTTCTAAATTAAAAGAATCGGAACTTATTACCCTACATTTTTAGTGGAACACAGCTAATGAACTACTATTAATTAACTGCTATATACGTACCCCCCACCCATGAGGAAAGTTGAAGTCAAAGTTTAAGGGCTAATGGCAAATATTATAAGGCCTGCCATTTGAAAAAAAGACATTTTTAGTGGAACAATATATATCTGATTTTTTCCCAAGAACTACTTCATTTCACTATTAAAAATATAAGAAGCTAATTTGTTGGCGAACTTGGAAGGAATAACTCCGATGATTGCATTAGAGTTCCATCTATCGAGTACCAAACAAAATTCACTTGCCTGTGTGTGATTTGTTTTTCGAGTTAATCGTTGCAATATTTCGTGAAAATCCCTCGGAAAAGGATTAGAGAACCACTTCAAAGAATTGTCTTTCATTTTTTTGCCTTAATGATTATCGGAAAGCAAGTAAACTATCAGATTATTCCTAGAAATATGGGTTTTTCTAGTTCTATTTTTTTCATGCAAATCGCATTAACTTTCAGACAAAATTTAGACCATATTTTGTTATAATTACCACTGTAGAATAAGGTATTCCATAAAGTTCGATTAGAGTTAAAGAAATTGCTTATTGGCTGGAATTACGTTCAATCGAAGATACGATTTAGGTATTAATTGACTTAGACAATTTGAGTTTTCATATTAAGATTGCCTTTTTTCTATCATCTTGTTTAGGGTCGCATTAATTAATTTGAATTTAAGGTGTTAAGTTGGAGATTGTCTTTCAAGACTAATTATTTTAGCATTGCGGTTAATGTGAGCTTTCAAAACCGAGGGGCCAAGTTTGTTTTGAGTCTTCTCAATCAGTTAAGGCAGAAAAGTTAAAAGATTTTTAGCATTTTCAGAACTTAACAAACTACTAGTATCTGATGTATCAATCGTTCGTTAAAATGTGACTTGCTGAAGTTTCATTTACAGTTTTGTTGTATGCCAATCATCGCAAATGGATGTCTGTAATGAGAGACAGTTTTAAATATTATAAAAAAGAGAAGCGTGGAAATTTGTATTGCATTGATTTTATTTTCATCTACGTATTCCCTAAAGTCAAAGTAAATCGAAGAAGAAGCCCAATAATCAGTTTACACAAACGAGACTTGACCTGACCTCAGCAAGCACTTTTGGAATTAAAAAAATACATTGTATAAAATTACATCTAAAATTTGCTAAGCTACCGAAATAACATTGGGGAAAGAGAATGTGCGAAGAAAATAGCGTTCATTGTCTCCTAGAGGCCACAGTCACAAAGGACAGCGATTAATAAGTGCTGGTTGACTGTGAGGCCCGTGCACACACGCTGCACCTGTCCCCCCCCCCCCCCCCCCACGCCATTAGTAACATTAGCCACCAAGCCCCGAATGTTCGAGTACCCATGAAATTTCTTTGTTCAGCTTTGGTTGTGTAGTGCACACCACATATTAAAAAAATAATCTGATTTTATTCACAAACTGAAAGTACTAAGAAAACGTCGCTTTTAGAAAAGTATTTTCTAGTCATACTTCCTCGACTTTATTGGCAATTAAGCACTTACTAAGTTCGAAAAATATTTATTCGTAACTTCACCAATTAGAACTATTACAACATTCCTCACTTTCCCACACCTGAATGCCTACCTTATTTTCCAATTACTCCTCTTTTAGAAGAGCTCTTTCGCTTTAAGCGCCATAAATATTTGATCGATAAATTTATAGACAGGACATAAATTTAAATCGATTTTTTAAATGAAATTTCCTTGTCTTATGTGAGCAATCTAAAGCCTCACATCAATGGTATTGAACTGTCTCGACCACTCGCAATGCAAAAAGAAACAATATTTTTCACTCATGTGACTTGTATAACTAGTCTATCTTTCTAATAGAGAATGTAAGTGTGGGAGTCCACATTTTACTTAATTTTTCATGATTCCATGTTACAAAGATCAAATCTTTTCCTGAGTTTGACCTTGAAGTTCCTCACAAACTATTTATTTCCCTCATTTTCGTCGCCTTCTTGTCGATACAACGTTCTATGCCGAAATCCAGAGCAACTTAAGATATAAGCGAACACAATACTATTATTGCAGAACAAACTATTACTAATTTAAAGCAATAATAATAATAATCTAAATTGACATTGCTCTTTCATACGGTGTCGTCTGTCAAATCAAAGAAGCCTATTCATCGTAATGGAAGATAGCGTGTGGCAGGACACTCAAACACCTTGACAATAGAAGCGCGAAAACATCCTAAGAATGGATCTCTCACATTTTCGAATTCCACATTACAACCTGTCTTCTCTATACTGAACCTTGATTTGGACCAGGTGGGCTTTATCGTGATTATTATTGGCTAACTCCCGGAGTGCAAGCGATGGCACTCACACATCAGAAGTTTACAACACTCGGCCAATCCGATAATAAACCTTTGGCATATCATAACGCTCAGTTACAGAAATGCGGTGGAGAAGTATTTGCAGAAGCGTACATCTTTGGAACCTATTGATATGCAAGTTTTGCATAGTCCTTGCATAGATGTATTTGACTGAAAATAATTCCAAATTGGATCTAGTCAAGCCTAAGCCCGATGAATATTATAATTGAATCAATTGCTCGAAATCGGTGAGAAGAACATAAGTATTTGTACATGAACAATCCAGGATTTTTCATGTTCAACTAGACCCTAACCGCTACTGGAGGCATATGAACATCATAGTTTTATACTGCTATAGTTATCTAGTAAAATAGGGATGCGCGATAGGCTTACCTCCACGTGGAGCACCCTGAGCAACGTATACTCATACAACAAAAGGTCTATAAACCGGCAGTTGACTTCTAACTTTAAACTACCATGACCCCACTGTATGTCTTATTCGACCACTTCCACAGTACTCACCTTACCTTTTCTCTGCCTTCGTGACTATCTCTTGCGTTGTGAAACACTCTTCTGTTTCCCCTCATCACTTTTTTCTCACCTTGATGTTTCTCCCTCTGTTAAGCACGAATTCAAATAGAGGGCTAATGATAACTATCATGAGGCCTGCCATTTGATATAGTTATCTATTAAATAGGGTAAACAATTTTACGATTGATTAGTTGGCATAAAATATCCCCTCTGTAGGGGAAATACGGTGCGAGATTCAAATTTCTCAATCTATCATCAGATAAGATGAAGTATTTTTAATTATCTAGCATATTTAGAATCCACTTATTATTCCCTTACATTAAATAAGTCATCGAGCTCTGAATAAAGCAAAAGTAGCATCTTCCAGGGATTAAATCAAATATGTCAGAGCGAATCGCTTCCCTTGTGAAAAGTTGGACAATCCGGAACATCCATGCATTGCGATTCCATTATTTGCTACCTTCAATTACCATCCCATCTACCCCAGATTTCTTCGCTGTTTCAAATGTTAAAAGGTAATAACGTTTTGCACTGTTATTCTTTCTTCTTCTTCTTCTATAACACATGCCTTCTTGGCAGAATATTATCTTGAAAAATAAACTTAATCTCAGGAGTTGGTAAACCTCTGCTTGCCTACGCTCAGAAAGGGAGAGTTCGCTAATCCCGATTAATAGCAAGCGGAGTGACATGGTCAATTTTATGGCGCTCGCATAAAGCCCATCTGGTCCTTAATCAACAAAACTAACCAGCGGACGTTTCCTTCAATAGAGGCCTACTTTATCACATAGCGAAAAAATACTCACAAAACGACCAACTTCATAGATTACAGAGAGTTAAAGAAATAGGTGAAAAGAATAATACATTTGCCGTTTCTAACCAATTATGCCTCCAATTAGAGCACTTTCCTCCTCGGGAGTAAAGCGGAGAGCCATGGATAGTGCTTTTACCACAGCCATTCGAGATGCGAGGGAAGAAGTCCGCAAATTAGCGATGAGATTGAAGACAATGTTCTTTACATAGGCTACATTCACGTCCTCGCCGGATGATTGATTTTGAGAAGAGGACCCGTCTGTCCTCCTTGAATCTTGAGCTGCTTCCATCGCCGCAGCTTTGCGTTCTTCTCGTAAACGCGCTTCAAGTTCTTCTATCCGTTGTTCCAGCTCACGCTTGCTTGCTCGAAGCCTCTTAATTTCAATAGCCCTTAAAGAACAAACGATACGTTAAAATAATAAAGACGAGTAAAGAACATAAACTAGTAGTATTATCTTCAATAATATCCCAAAAAAAATCGAAAAAAGCATGCATATATACGCAAATTTGACTTATCAAAGTGGCTATACATTCCAAACGGTAAATTTTAAGGTTGAAAGCGCCGAAAAGTTTCATAACAATGAAATATTCACAACTCAACTTTGTCAACTACATAGGCTGCTACAATGGCCCAGTAGGTTAAAATTAAAGTTTCAGAAATTGGTATTAAATATCAGTGATTTGATTTACGCTAGTAAGGAGACCAATCAGGAGTCATATAATCGCCCTAAATATAGACAGAACGAGGCGTTTTCAACCAACCCTAAATGCATCGTCTTGTCTTCGGAAGCACCTATAGTATCACAGTCAAACACATTCTAATATATCCAATCGAATTAAAATACAGTGAATGACAACGTGTTCGTGCGATTAACAAACCGAAAAGCCTCAGCAGAAAATGAAACAAAGGTGAAAACCGCTAAAACAAGGTCTTAAATTTCAATTGTGTCCCACTCGAAACATCAAACTTGTTCAGCGCATACTCTTTGTACAGACTATTGTTTTAATTCAATAGCTATGCTCCAGTAGGTAGTGACCAGACATCACGAGCTTGATGTCCCTGTCCATAGCCAAAAATCCAGTTAATAGATTGAACATTCGCGCTGATTGCACCAACCTACTAAATGCGTAAGGAGAGTTTCTTGACAGGGATCGCAGAGTGATGCTCCTCGCCCAATTGAGCTTTGAACGTATATGTCTAAACCAAGTAGTACTAAAGGGTAGTTAGACCGAAAAAAATAGCACTGTCTCCATCCACCACCTAATGGTAAAGAAAATCCCATTGTTATTTTTACAGAAATTTGAGGAATACAAACCGACTTCAAGTAATGCATTTCCTACCTCTGGAAAGGGGAATTAGAAAATAACGAATTTCAATAAATTCGTTCCCCCATCCCATCCCAACCCACCCAACACCCCAATCCCTCCCTCCTCTACTAGGCCATAATTTCGATAACTCCTCAACAAAGGGTTTTCCACGATCTGTCGCAATGACGTGTAACAATTTAAAAGCTGAATGATGAATGAAATGCATAATTGACAGCTCTCTTGAGAGAGAGCCCAAACTGCTATGAAGTGAGCTTCAGTTAAACAACTAGGCATTTCTCAAAGTCTTTCAACACCAATGTGTAACGAATTTCAATAATTTCTAATAGAACAAAAAATTAAGCAATTGATGGATAGGAGTAATGCTTAAGGAAAAGGTGAAATTATTGCCTGCAATAAGTGATGGTAATAAAGTAATAGGCATCTATAGTAAATAGTCTTAAAAAATTTGCTCACATTTACAATAGAAAATGTGGAAAACAAACAGTATATTCAACCGCAATTATAATGGCACATTCATTTTTAATGACTTGGGGTGTGCGATAGACTTACCTCCACGTGAGGAAACATGGGCAACGTATACTCAAACGGCAAAAAAATCTATTAACCGGTAGTTGACTTTTGACTTCAAACTACCGTGACCCGACTGCATGTCATATTCGACTACTTCCACAGTACTCATCTCAATTTTTTTCTACCTTTGTGTCTGTTTGCCTCTTTTACATCTGTGAATCGCTCTTCTGTTCCCCACCCCTCGACTTTCTACTACTTTGACGAAGCTTCCCTCTGTGAAGCCCAAAGTCAGCTAAATGGCTAATGATAGCTATCAAAACGCCTGCCATTTGAAACAAAATAATCTTTAATGACTTAATCAGAAAATTGAAAAGCCGATAAGTAAATAACTCGTAATTTGGTGGAAAAAACCAGTAAACAAGAATGCTTCCTCGAGGTAGAAAGTATGCCTAACTCGAATAGCCTCACACAATAAAAAACAAGGAGATAGTCAAGATAGGGAGTTTGAAAGCCCAAAGTACGTTACGACAGAGGAATTCGAAGTAGGTTAAGCTAATAAGCCTGTCGAACTAAAAGGGGGTGTTATGGCATTGTGCAGACTAATACGAGCCATTACAGATCTAGGACTTGAATTACACACAGTCACAATCCTATGCTGCTTGATACAACACATCAGCTGCGCTATTTCTCCATAAG